AACTGTCCAACGTACCAACAAGATTTGAAGGATGGGAAAGTTAAACCCAACCATATAGGTATTTACACTATCTCATCTAATAATTCACTCTATTCTAACTCTTGGGTCCTTGATACCGGTTGCGGTATTGATATTTGTTATGAATTGCAGGGACTAAGAAGAAGTGAGATTGTGGAGCATGGAAAGATAAACTTGATCATGGGGAATAGGAAAGTGTCACCTGTCACCAAGATTGGAGTTTATACTTTGTTGCTTAGTAGTGGATTTACTTTAGATTTGAATAAATGTTGTTATTCACTAGAAATGGAAAGAAATGTTATTTCCTTTCATGCTTTGTATAAACAAGGTTTTACCTTTTCTTTTGATAATGAAATTGGTGGAATAAATGCTTACTTTAATAATGTGTTTTTTTTTAAAAACATTACCTTGTGATGGTGTGTATGAAGCTGTGTCTGTTGTAGATAATTTAGGAAATAATGTATTGTGTATTGATTCTACTAATGATAATAACTTGGATAAAACATCATTATGGCATTGTCGTCTTGGACATATAAGCATGAAACGCATAGGCCAACTCCAAAAGGATGGAGTTTTGGAATCATTTGACCTAAAGTCAGATGATAGTTGTGAATCATGCTTACTTGGAAAAATGAAAAAGTCACCCTTCACTGGTACTTGTGAGACGGGTAAAGGTTTGTTGGATCTTGTACACACAGATGTATGTGGACCCTTCAAAACTGCCATAAGGGATGCTAATCGTTATTATGTGACTTTTATAGATGATTATAGTAGATATGGATATGTCTACTTAATCAAGCATAAGTTAGAGACTTTTGAAAGGTTTAAAGAGTTTAAACAGGAAGTCGAGAATCAATTGGGCAGGAACATTAAAATGCTTCGATCCGATCGTGGTGGTGAGTATCTTAGTACTGAGTTCCTCGACTATCTAAGGGAATGTGGGGTTGTCTCTCAATTGACACCTCCCAGGACACCACAGTTGAATGGTGTAGCTAAGAGGCGTAATCGAACCTTGTTGGACATGGTTCGTTCCATGATGAGTCGAGCTACGCTACCAATATCATTTTGGGGGTATGCCTTAGAGATTGCCACCTATATCCTTAATATGGTCCCTACAAAAGAAGGTTACCAAAACACCTCACGAGATGTGGACTGGAAAAGTTCCTAGTCTAGCCCACATCAAGGTTTGGGGTTGTGAGGGTTTCGTGAGACGCGAGACTCATGACAAGCTCGAACCTCGAAGTGAGAGGTGTATTTTCATCGGCTACCCACAAAAATCCTTTGGTTACCTCTTCTATAGACCTAGTGAGAATGTGGTCTTTGTAGCAAGGAGGGCTGTCTTGAGAGAGAGAGAGAGAGAGAGAGAGAGAGAGAGAGAGAGAGTTCATAAGCCAAGGAGATAGTGGGAGGCTAATTGACCTTGAAGAACTTCAAGAGTCAAGTGGTGAAGGAACCTCAAACCCTAGCAGTCAACTTGAGGAGGAACCTCCTGTTGATCCAATTATACCTCCAATTGTACCTCTGAGGTGTTCTACAAGGGTTAGGAATGAACCTGAGCATTACTATGGTTTCCATATTACTGCGGAAGGTGAGACACTTATTAGTGATGGGACACCGGTAAGTCTGGATGAACCTAATAGCTATGCGGAAGCCATGGCAGGCCCCGAGTATGCTAAATGGAAAGAGGCAATGGATAGCGAGATACAATCCATGTATGAAAATCAGGTCTGGGACTTGGTTGACAATGTGCCAGGTCGTAAGATAGTTGGGTGCAAATGGATCTTCAAGAAGAAGACCGACATGGATGGTAATGTACACACTTATAAGGCACGACTGGTTGCAAAGGGCTTTTCTCAAACTCCAGGAGTTGATTATGATGAGACCTTTTCACCAGTAGCCAAGATTAAGTCTATTAGGGTATTGTTAGCCATAGCTGCATTTCATGACTATGAAATATGGCAAATGGATGTCAAAACCTCTTTCCTTAATGGAAAGTTGGCTGAGGATGTTTACATAAATCAGCCAGAGGGTTTTGGCAGCACAGAGTACCCTAATAGAGTGTGTAAGCTTGAGAAATCCATCTATGGATTAAAGCAAGCACCTCGCAGATGGAATCTTTTCTTTGATGAGAATGTCAAAGAGTTTGGCTTTTCTAGGAGTGAAGATGAATCTTGTGTATATGTCAAGGCTGGTGGGAGTATATTTAGCCTTTTGGTGTTGTATGTGGATGACATACTACTCATAGGAAATGACATCCCAACTCTGCAGGAAGTTAAGTCCTGGCTTGGGAAGTGTTTCGTTATGAAGGACCTAGGAGAAGCTGCCTATATTCTAGGGATAAGGATCTTGAGAGATCGGAGTAAAAGACTAATTGGACTTAGTCAGAGTACGTACTTGGATAAGGTGCTGAAGAGATTCAACATGCAAGATTCCAAGAAAGGAGAGTTACCCATCCAGAGTAACACTAGACTGAGTAAGACTCAGAGCCTGAGTACTGAGGATGAGATAGCAGAAATGAGTCGGGTACCTTATGCTTCGGCAGTAGGCTCGATCATGTATGCTATGACTTGTACTCGTCCTGATGTAGCCTTTGCTTTAAGCATGGTTAGTAGGTATCAGGGGAATCCTAGTAAGGCTCACTGGACAGCGGTAAAGAACATTCTCAAGTACATGCGGAGGACTAAGGACTGGGTCCTTACCCTTGGTGGGAGTGATGACTTGAGAGTTGTAGGGTATAGTGATGCTAGTTTCCAGCCCGATAGGGATAATTTCCGCTCTCAGTCGGGCTGGGTCTTTAACTTAAATGGAGGAGCAATCTCTTGGAAAAGTTCCAAGTAGGAGACAGTGGCTGATTCAACTTGCGAATCAGAGTATATAGCAGCAAGCGAGGCGGCAAAAGAGGCTATGTGGCTAAAGAACTTCATTGGAGACCTAGGAGTTGTACCTGCTATATCGAAGCCCATAGAGATTTTATGTGATAGTGAAAGTGCGGTTTCCTTAGAAAAGGAACCAAGGGATCATGGGAGATCCAGACACATTGACAGAAAATATCATTTCATCAGACATCGTATAGAAGAAGGACTCCTCGTGGAAAACAGGGTATCATCGGATGAGAACCCGACAGATCCCTTCACGAAGGTATTGGGTAGGGTTAGGCATCTCCAGCATGCTAGGAGCATAGGGCCGAAGGATGATATTAGTCTTAGTAGTTAGATAATTTTGAAATTTGTAAAATGTAATTGACATTTGATGATGAATAAAAGTTGTGTTTATTTATGAGTAAAGTGTTGCTATCCCTTGCCAATCGTTTACTATTATTTCTTTTGCATGTTTTGACTTCCAGAATATTTATGTTGTTTTACATATTATTCAAATTATCCACAGTCAGTCATATGTTGGAAGTAGATATGAAGTAAGACTGTCATGAGTTGGTTGTAGAGGTCTAAGATTTTGGACATGGCCTCAGCACTCATGAGTGCTCATAAGTTCTGAGTATTGGATTCAACCCACGCTCGCTGGTATCACTTCATGGAATTTATCTCGAGTGATTGCGAGACGGTAATATCATATAAGTCTTCAAACCTAAAGATATGACTTGTTAACTATGAGTTAGATATGCATTGAATGTGCGAAACCGCATTGGTAACTCGATGTTATAAAACGTGCATTTGTGTGTAATTAAAAAAGTAGTAGAACAAACATATGAGTCGAAGTTTATATGTTCCTTTTTGGATTAGAAGCTGATATCTGGGCCCCTCGATGATTTTGTTTTGACCTTTGTTTTAGGCCCGGTCAGAACTAAGTTGATGTGTTCAATTAAGTTCTACGTCAAACAAATCAGAAATCGGGAAACAAACTGTTGGACAATAAGTAAGACCATGTTCCATGTATTTGTCCAGCTGATATCTAGAACAGAGGATTATATGTTCCCTTATGTAAAATGGTGTACCATCATCTTCTCAGTTCTGAGAAACCTTGAAAAGAGCTACAACTGTTGATCGATTCCCGAAGTATTACAGTTATAGTTATTAGACTTATCCAAGTGGGAGAGTGTTGGATAAGGTGTATAAGTCCATAACTATTTCTGGTATGTACTTGACCCGACCCGGCATGGTCCATTTGGGTTGCATGGCACCATGCAATTGGATAGAATAAATGAGAGAAATAACACTTGTGGTTTATTAACATATTATAAGTTCTAATATATTAATAATATTATTTAATTAGTTTGATCATGAATTAATTAAGTGATCAAAAGATAACTAATTAAATATATGGGTTGGTTATGTAAATCATCCATATCTTGTATAGTGGGCTAAGAGGCTCCATGGATAATCAAGTTGGATTAAACCCATTGGATGCTCCATGGGAGTTACAAACCCATGGGTCATGGAAATGAAGAGTCATGACACATTAGGGTTTACATGGTGTAACCCTAGATGTGTCAACACTATATAAAGCTCATGTTTCTCCCAAAATCGGTTACACACATGCATACTTGAGGGCTAGAGCCGTTTTTTTAGAGTGTTATACTTTCTCTCCAAGTTTACTCCATAGCATTTGGTGTTGTGTGAAGCATTTGAGGCATCACACTTGGGGTTCTAGGCTCACAAGGTTTCAAGGATCAAAAACAACAACAAGGTATGTAGTTCTATCTTTTATTCAAGTTAAAATTATTCCCCATGTATGCTAGATAGGATGATAACCTTGGAAATCAACTTTTCATGATAATTAGACAAACATAGATCCAAGGTTATTAGGGTTGCATGTACACTTAGGAAGTGTTAGAATTCTCAAAACCCATCAAAATGTCACCCCACTACGTGTGACCTGGAGGGTCATCAGCCACTCGATCGTCTATCAGGATGGTTACATACGAGTTTACAATCGGATCTCTAATTAATAAATATAGAATTAAAGGTAAAACAGACTCCCTAAGGTGTATTGTACACTTATTACTACATGGAGTCTGCATTTCTATTTCATTCAGCCGACAGTAAAACTGCTGGGATAAAACATGATTGCTTCAAAAGTACGATCTCTTGTTTGAGCTCATAAATGGTTTGTTGAGATTATTCATCACCTCCTTGCTCTGAGCCAATAGATATTCCCTTTCCTATTGACTGAGGAATAGAGTCTAGAAAAGCAAGTAGGTTGGCTAACTTGATAGATGAAGAATCATGCTCTAGAGGTGGTGGGGCAGAAGAACTTCTCAAGGAAAAAGTTTCCTCATTAGATAAGAAGACTTCGTCAAAAGGTGGGCTTTGATCATCTTGATTAACATGGGATGGTTCAACATTAGAAGTTGGTTGTTGTATTGGTTCAATAATAAGCATTCTCGGCCTTAGATCTTTACATCTTCACTTTCTTGGCATCAGGGAGGTATTTGAATCATCTTTATCACTCCCAGATGGAGACTCGGTAGTAACAAGAACTGCTTGGGGTGGCTTCCTCGCAGTTGGATGAAATTTTTCGATAAGGGCTTCCATCTGTTCGGGTGTTGGATCGTTTGTTTGCTTGAAAATGTTGATTCCTTTCTCTGTCCTAGCTAGAGAAATCACAGCCTCATTGACTGGCTCCTTCGATGGTTCAAACACAAAAACATCATCATCATCATCATCATCATCATCCACCTCATCATCCTTATCCTCATCCTCATCATCATCATCATCATCATCAGAAACCTCAAATGAAAAACTAAGATTTGATTTTGATGGCACCAAATGTTCCTCGGCCTCCATAGCAATTGGATTACCAACAGTTTCAACACCTTCTGTCTCTGCGAATTTTCCAAATTTCACCAAAGCTTTTGTTCCCTTGAAAACAACCTTTAACGCTTTTCATACTTGTTGCATGAGTCCAAAGGTGTTTGGACCCAGTAACTTGACATCAAGAGTATCAGGGGTCCTTTCCAGCTCGGGATGCATGCCGTCAAAGATCATTTGTAAAAACCAAGGCTACATCAAGAAAAGATCATTCTTTTTCACCGAAAGGTTGCCCCTCATTTCATCAATTTTTTTGAGAAATTGTACTCCTAGTCCATTGTTAGTGCAACAAAGGCTGATGTTGTTGTTTGGCTTATCTCATTCGACCCACCCTTTCTTCCAGAAATGCAACTAACAAAAGTATGGGCCTAAAATCTCCAATAAGGGGGAAGTAGCTTCTTGACTGTTGGAGGAAAAATTCCTTCGTAATTCATCCTTTTTAAAACTTATGTGATCTTGGCAGCAGGGAGATCTATTTGGAAAGCAAGCTGATCTCCGAACTGAAGCACATCCTGAATGACTTTCTTTGTAATAATGATTTGCTTTCCTTTCACAGAAGATTCAATAGCACCATCACCATCCACTCCTGCACAGTTGAACGATGTATTCCTCCAAAAATCATTAATCATGTCCTTACGTATGACTAGAGTGACACGTGGAGCGTGGGAAATTCTGCAATTGTTCAAACCCACGATCATGGATTTGAATTCATTGTGCGCGGCAGGTGGATCAAAGAGATATCCATCGATATTGTGAGAATCAACAAACTTCAACTGATCTGCCATTATCTGCACCAAATGAGCCAAATGAGAATAATAAAAATTGAAATTGAAATTTTATTTTCTCAAAACTTCAAATTTTGGTAAAAAAATGTTGATTTCAGTCAAAACATAGTCATTTCGGTCAAATTTGAGATTTCGGCCGAGAACACTGATTTCGATCGAAAACCCGGATCTTCATTGGATCCTGTTCCAATCGCCGTTCGTCGGAAAAACTTGTCAAAACAATTCAAAACCTGCAAATATGTGGAAAACAAATACACCAAGAACAACGTAAATGCCATTTCCACGATCGAAAATCAATAATCTACCTAATTCACCAACGAATTTGCAACACAAACACCGAAAAAGGCAGATTTTTTAGGAAAACTCGAAACAAACTTTGAGAGAAGACAACAATGGTGGATTGTGGTTTATTGATGGGAAACCCTAATCAGTCGAAGACAACATTTATATATGCTCTTAAATGATCTTGACCCAGATGGCCCACCAAAGTATTTCGGCCAAAGAATAATATACATGTCTTTAATAAAAAAATTCTTTCGATATTACATTTCAAAGACCAAAACAAAGATAAAAAAAATAAAATTAAACACTCAAATTAAATTTTATATATATATATATATATATATATATATATATATATATATATATATATATTTAATTTTTTAATTTTTTAGTGGTAATTTCTCCCCCTAAATTTGTGCATAACAGAGAAAATATGTACAAATTTAAATAAAAACAAAAATGTAATAAACAGATTCTAATAAAACAAAAGCTTTTAGGATCAAACATGATGAAGAAAATTTAATATTGTTTATCAGCACACACCTGCATGGATAACTCTAGTCAATCCCCAATATTGTGGTCCACTTAAACACAAATGATATTTACAGGTTGGACATATTATAAATGACAAGTCATTGAAATTATATTCCTAAATAGACCATTTTGCTGACGACGACCATGGATATTGTTGTCTACTTAAATTCAACAGTGGTATCTACAGTCAACCTTTAGTCATGAACCAATTCAATTTTAAACGCACTAGAACGTATTCCTCACTTCACGACATACCCTAGCAATCAAGGAGTTCCAAAGAGCACTTTACTTTAGGTGATTGTTCATTTATTTGAGAGAGAAGATGGATATAGATATGCATATGTTGTATCCCAGGTCAGATCTATTCCTATCATGCAAAGCGACAACATATGACTAACATAGATAGAGGGATAGAGATATAGAAAGGTGCATATGTTGTGTCCCTAGTCGGATCTCTTCTAATCACATAGAGGGGAAAACATATGACTGACATAGATAGAGAGATATGCATATGTTGCGTCCCAGGTCGGATCTTTTCCAATCACGCAAAGGGAGAAACATATGACTGACATAGAGGATAAGAAAGAAAAGTAATTTCATACATACCTACTTTATTAGAACCCCCTAGTCACCCTATCAGCACCAGAATTAAGAACATAAGTTTGTACGTTGGAGAGGTGTTAAGCCATAGTTCTAGATGATAAGTAACTGTTGAAGCAAGAAAGTGACCCTCTTAAACTTAGCCAATCCGAAACCATCACCTGATCCACACTCAAATTCTCATCCGCAATCAACGGCCGCATCCGCAGTATCTTCATTAAACATTAACTTAGCTTTATCTGTTATCTTTTCAATTTATGTTGTTTTATCAAGTGTGCCTTGCATGGACACTTAGACAGATTTAGACTTATTTTGTTTTATTGTAATCGTCGAGACTCTATATATAGAGATCTCATGTTCTGATTAAATACACATCTCTTTCTTCACATCTATATTATTTGTTACATCTACTCTCATTACTCTCTCAAGATCGTAAACTCTAAACATAAAGATCATAGTCACTCCTTTGGAGCAAGTCATTATTGACTTCTTCACTTTAGCTAATCACTCTTACTGACTTGTGTTTGATTGCAAACCTTGTCAAGAATCAGCTTAGTGTTTACTTGATATACGACTTACTGTCATTTACATTTCCTTACTTTTTAGCATTTACATTTCCGCACCTAACTATCTAACAAATCTAACTTCTAATTATTGTTGAGCTTTATGATCCTTTGAGATTAACTTATTCCGCATATACAACTTGTTCTAATGTTTGTTCAAGTGTGTCTCAAAACTTTTTCTCTCAACAAATGGTATCAGTGCCAAAGTGGTTGCTTTTTGAACAAAAATCCGATTTTAAAAGGCCTTCTATACCACTGAAGCTCATTTTTTCAGAAAAAAAAACAAAATCTTTCTCAAAACAAGGAAATATGGCACAAGCATTATCACTCAATGTTTCCAATAGTGTTGGAGGTTCGAATGGAGCTCTAATATTGGTGGCAAATGAATACCATCACTGGTCCCAAATAATGGAGAGACATACTAGAAGACTTGGACGAGATATGTGTTGATCCGTAGAAGAAGGACCTCATGTCCCTATTCTTACTCCAGTTCTAACTGATGGTACTCAAGCCAGACAATAAATGGAAAGAGTTTGGTATTGTGACATTTACAAAAAAAAAGGGTTTGGATTGTGAAATGAGCATCATTAGAGTCGTGTTTAATTGATCTATTTCACAAAAGAAAGGACCATAGGTAAACATAGTGTGCATGCTTGGTGCATGGCATGATTATGTTCTTAATTCAAGCATAAAGTTGATAAAATCAAAACAATGAATAATGAGTAATAAATATGGTGCTTAGATAAAAGGGTTTTTATCTACACTTAAGAGTTTGGGGCCATATATGATTAGTATTAATCTTGTGTTTCACTTTGCATGCTTTGACTTCCAGAATAACTAGGTCATTATTCCTGATTGACTAAGTTATTCAACCCATTCACAGTCGATCATATGTTGGAAGTAAATATGAATAAAGACTTTCATGAAATTGGTTTGTAGATGTCTAAGGTAGTGGACATAGCAAGAGTTGCTGTAACATTCATGGGTGCTCATAAGTTCTGAGTATTGAATTCAACCCACGCTCATTCGAACCACTTCATGGATTTTATCACGAGTGAATCATGAGATGATAATATCTTATATTCTTCAAACCTAGAGATATGAGTTGTTACTATGAGTTGGTTATACATTAATTGCACGGAAACACATTGGTAACTCAATGTTATATAATGTGTTTTTGTGTATGATTCAACAAGTAGTTGAACAAGCCATATGATTCGAAGTTTATCTATTCCTTTTACCCTTAAAGGGATAAAAGCGATATCTGTGGGCCCCTCGATGATTTAGTGATGACACCCTAAGTGCTTGGCCAAGCCTGGACTGATTTGATTTGTTCAATTAGTCGTTCGTCATAAATCGGAAATCGGGAAACAACAAATGGACAGAGAGAATGATTAAAATCCATGTCTCCGTTCATATGATATCTAGAATGGAGGAATATATGATCACTTATCTAATGGATGCGTCATTGATTTGTTCAGAGTTCGACAGCGGCTTTAAGAGCTACGATTGCTAGTCGGGATTTTGCAGTTGTACTTGCAATAATAGTTTTAGACTTATCCAAGTGGGATACTGTTGGATTAGATGTTTAAGCCCGTAACTATTATTGGTATGTATTTGACCCAAGAGTAGCATGGTTCATTTTGGTTGCATATCATAAAGACAATTTGTTAGGATGGACTTTTGAGAGAAGAGGTTATATATGATTTATTAATATATTATAAGTTATAATATACTAATATGAAATCATATGTTTTAATTAGTATTGATGAACAATTAATTTAGTGATCAAAAGAGACTAATTAAATCTGTGGGGACTAATTATGATAATTAGTTATATTTATATGTGTTGGGCTTATGATCCATGTTGGACCAAGTTTATGCATGGATACATAAAGAGTTAGGCCACATGAACCATGGATCATAAAACCCATGGGTATGGATTATGGGTTATACCCATGACCCTTGGAATCCTACATATAAATAGGTTACTCCATAACCAAAATCACCACTTCTTTTCTTAAAGAAATATGGAGGTGTTTTGGTGCATGGAATTCTCTTTCAAGAGCCACATTTGTCCTAGGTGTGTTGTGATTCCATTTGAGGCATTTCATACTATTGGTGCTAAGCTCTTAAGGCCAAATACATCAAGACTTCAAGCCACATAAAAGGTATGTTACCCTAACTAGTATATTATATGGTTTATGTCAAATGCATGCTAGTTATAGTTTTAATGCATTGGAAACCATTTGCATGTATAATTAGTGAAAACATAGATCCAAGGTATTTAGGATTGTATGTGCACCATAAGATGTTGTATTCTACCAAAACCCAACATATTTTCCTTGCACTCTCAACCATGATTTGTTCCACACTTAATACATTTCGAGACACTTTG